GTGCTCCGATTGATCGGTTACCGATCACTATCGGCCGATAATCACATTGTGATGTTTGATCGGCGGTTTCTAAAAAGGTCGATCTCAAAAAAGCGATCTCAAGCTGATGACGCTGCCGTGAGAGGTTTGGCATGACATGCAGCGTCACCGTCTAGTCTCTGTCCGGCGCGGGTAAAATAATTATAATGCTGAAGGTGAGGTACTCGCCTTCATATTTCTTCATTAAATAACTTATAAAGTAATTTGAAAACCTTGTGTGAGACGTAATTTCACAAACAGCGGGAGTGAATCACCGTGCGCGCGCTCTCTCTTTCTCTCTCAAAATACGCAAATGACTTCAAATCACCACACATCGCTGTCAGTCTATAAGCGAGCTACACAGTTGACACAGGAATTGTCACTTGCACAATCGAGGCAGTGTCACATCGTCACTAAAGTTTATAAATTGCATTACTTTTTAATTCTTGCCAGTGTTTAACCATTCAGTGCTCGCGCTCTCCTGGAGACTGCGCTCATGCACACTCGCAGCACACACACATAACGCCAGGTTCACATTACTCCATTTGCAGTGCGTATGTGGTGTGTATTTTTTCCGTGCTCCTGTTAACAGATTAATAAAGCGTGCACACTGCACACAGTTGCTGTCCTGCAGTGCGTTCAAGGAGCGGTGCGTCTGCAACAGTGCAGAGATCGTTTCTGCACCTAGTCTAGGTTTGCTGCGCTGCAAGCGCTGAATTAAAGTAACAGCGCATTGTTTGCGGTAAATATGAACATGGATTGACACGAAAATGTAGTAATTACACCATAAATGCATATTATTAATGTCTACTGTATTTCACAGTTAACACATGGCTTTACGGCTATAGGTTTATAAAGGGAAAGATCACTTATATAAACAAGGCAATAATAGATGGCACTCGTGGAGGTAGAAAAAAAAAGAAAAAAGTTCTTTATGAACAGCAGGATTGCTTGTAATAAAGATTCAAATGCAAAAGGAAAGGCAGTAGAGTTGACTTTGTCAATGGTAAGTTTGTGATAATGTAAGAAAAGTAGTTTAAATGTTTTGCCACTTGCTTGAGCAACTTAATATATCAATCTATAAGTAAATGCAAAAGTAAAAAGCATTGAATAATGTGTTGCTTATATTTATTGTTTAAACATGTCTGTGAAAGATTGTATTACTGTACTGTGTAAAAAAAGAATTGCAATGCTGAAAAAGCATTTTCAGTGACAATGTTTGGATTTGAAATCAAAATAATGGATAAATGTTGTGTTTGTAGTAAACAGCCATGGGTCAGGAGTGGACTCCTGTGTGAAAGCAGTCAGTGCTGCTTCCCCTCTCACAAGAGTCACCTACTGTAAGAGTGGAATACCCCCCATTTTCAAAAATGAAATTCAGGCCCTGAATAAACGTCTAAAAATCCTGATTGGAGTATCAATATAAATAGTTATAAATTATAAAAAGAAGGCTTTAAAAAGATCGGTATCGATATCGGCAGATACTGCTTTCTGTGATTGGCGATCGGCCTCAAAAACCCTGATCGGAGCACCCCTAATTAAAATTCACTTCAAAAACCAATTAAATAGTTTGTGCACAACCACAATATACAACATCCACGTGTAAAGTAAATTGCATTGACCTACAAGTTACTCACCTAACCTTCTGCAGTTTCTTTTGTGCGTTTTCAATCATTAAGGCCAAGTTACTGTATCAGTGTATCAGACCAGTTATGATCAGCATAAAATCCACAAATAAATCTCACAACTGTTTTCATTTTCTATTTATACTGCATCACTGCATCAGTAAATGGCTTTTTAATCCAAAGTCATGAGCCCGCAAATAGTGTTCACTGTATTCAGACTTTAACCCCTTAAATAATAACATACAGATGAAGGTCCCATATTAAAGGAATAGTTCACCCAAAAATTTTAATTTGCTGAAAATATACTCACCCCCAGGTTATCCAAGATGCAGATGAGCTTGTTTCTCAACGTGAACCGATTTGGTGAAATTTAGCATTACAACACTTTCTCACCAATAGAATGGTAGAATGTTAAAACTCCTTAATGATGGATTTGTTTCTTACAAACACGCAGCTTTTCACTTCACAAGATGTTAATTGATGGACTGGAGTCATGTGGATTACTGTGGTGTTTTTATTAGCTGTTTGGACTCTCATTCTGACGGCACCCATTCACTGCAGAGAATCCATTGGCAAGCAAGTGATGTAATGCTACATTTCTCCAAATCTGTTCCGATGAAAAAAAACAAGCTCATCTGCATCTTGAATAACCTGGGGGTGAGTACATTTTCAGCAAATTAA